GGGGAAAGACTGAAGCAAGCAGTTCTTTTCACTTGTGTGTCTGCAGAAATTTGAGGTATCAAAGCTTTGTTTCATCATAGAAATAGTAAAGAAATGGAACTGCCAGCATATTACTCAGCAGGCTTGGGATAAAGTAGTTGTTGGATGGTGTTAGTAATCATGGAAAAGCGGATCGAAGATCTTGGGGCGGGTGAGAAGGGTGTATGGCAAATGAAGGACTTTCAGAGATGAAACATCCATCCAAGCCTAATAAAAACAATATGGACATAGTGTTGAAAGCAAAGATAAATGGAAAGCGCAGGGCAGACTCTGATAAAGCAGGTTGCTGCGTGGCAGGCGTCCTTGCAGGCCTGACAGCAGCTCTGTCTCCAGCCATAGGCAACGTGGCTTGTTTAAAACCAGGGTGGTTCCTCCACGAGCTGGAGCTAGTGGTCTGCAGGGGGGGAGCTACCAACAGCCTGGGCTGCTGGAAAAGCCCCATAGCTGCGAGGGAAGGTAGGAAATAGAACAAACTCGTGCTAGGCTTTAACGGGAGCAGATTTCCGAGGGGGTGTTTTGCTTTTGAGGCTCTGGTGTCAGCAGCCAGGCCGCATGCAGCGGGAGGGGAGGAAGCGGAGGGACAAGCAGAGAGCTGCTCCGCTGATGGCAGAAGGCACTCGGAGGCGGTGCGAGTACGAGGGGCTGAGGTGGCCGGGAGGAGGATTATCCCCCAGGACCTGCTGACTGGCAGGTTCTTCAGGGTCTCCTTCAAATCTCTTTCATGTTCAGATAACTTTCTCTGTGTCCAAATCCCATGCCTCCCGCTTGGAACAGACTTGCAGATGCTCCTTCTGGCTGGAAGTCAGCTCTCTTTAGTGGAAATGGACACCCTTTTAGGGCTTTCCGCAGTAGAGAGCACAGCCAGGAGGAGGATGTTGGCTGAAGGTGAGAAATTAACTTGCGTAGATGTCCTCTGCTTGGCCAAATGCGCTGTCCAGCCAGCCTGACATCGCTGCAGCAGATACCTGGTTGCTGTGAGGACTGACAGCCGTTTGCATAGGTAAGTGTGGGGCCATCCCACCCCTTCCGAGCTCCAGGCTCTTCCTCCGCGCGCTCCCACCATCGCTGGACAGCGTGGAGTTCACGTCCCTCACCACCCTGGTCTTTATCCCATCAAATAAGTCTTGTGCAGGGAATTTGCATTTGGATGTTTGCTGTTCTCCCAAGAAACAGATTCCTAGAGAAAGAAAGGGATCTCCAGCAGCTCTCCTCGGTGATAGCAGAAACAGGAATTAATTGAGTGCACCTCATTAAGCCGACACTTTGACCTGGAAGTTATTTCCTGCTGTTCTATCCGAGACGCGCGACCTTCATCCCGTGTCCTGCTCCGTACTGCGGCAGAGCCTCCTTGCTGAGTCACGGCGCTGCCGGCAGCCGTTGCCTCCGCCGCCTGCAGAGCCGAGGAGCGGGGCTGCCGCGGCCATGGGGCTCCCTGCTTCCCCCTATTCCATCAGGATCTGGGATAACAGGGATGTGGGAGCACAACTACCCCCTGGCATCCTCTGCTTCAGGCGCTCCAGCCCCGTGGGGTAAGGGAGCAATCCAGGCTCCCTGCGCCCCTTCCTGCTGTGCAGACTTTTGTCTAGATGCTCTTTAACCATCTGACACTTCCCACTGCAACATCTTTTATGTAAATGAAGGTGCCTCCTTTTCCGGCAGCTCTGCTCCGTGCTGCAGCGCAGATGTTGGGATTCAGAGGCGATGCATATTAAGAGTAATAAATAAGGATAGTCCAGATGGCCCCATGTCAGGTCACTTGAGCCCACCTGCCACTTCTGCGCAGCTGAGGCAACATGAGGGAGCGCAGGAGAGGAGAAAAGCAAATAGCGAAGCGTGGGGCTGGGCCCTGGGGAGGCTGCGGGTTGCACGATCGCGGGAGCAGCCTGGCAGCAGTGTGTCCCAGCACCACGCTTGGTTCTGGGAATGCTGCTTTCCCTTCCTGGAGCAGAGTTTAACTGCCCTGTGCTTTGAGGGGGAGTTGGTGTCTGCCCCTTGGCAAAGCCACATGTAATTGTGTCCCCAGGGGAGTCCGGGATGGTGGCACGTGCGGCAGGAGGGATTGGAAGGTGACGCTGTGGCAACATGGAGCCTCATGCGGCTCCGAGGCTGCAAGGGGGCTTCGTCCTGCAGCAGAGCCCTGGCCGGGGCTGTGTCCCCAGGGAGCCCTGCTGTGTCTGGCAGGCTCTGGAGCCGGGAGGTGGCAGCAGCAGCTTGTCTTTGGGCAGGGCAATTCCTGTGGCCGCTGCTGGCATTTTGGTGATATCGAGGAGACGGGAAACAAAAACAGGGCGGCGGGAGAGAGTGCGGGAGGGCTGCAGTGCAAGCAGGATGATCAGGAACCCTCTGCTTCACCGAGGCCTCTTCTCCCTCCCTCCTCTGCTCATTAAATCACTGCCTTGCACTGGCTCCTCTCAATTTGCTGAAGCTCCTGCTGCCCACTGGGTGCCTCGGAGCAATGTGGAGCGCGGGCGGGAGGGCTTGTTTGCATTTGCCAGGAAACCTGCTAAGAAAGGCCACCGAAGGGGCTGCTCTTTCCCCGGCTGCGGGAGCAGATGGCTGCTCGAGCAGTGCAATTACTGTGCAGGGCCTCCCGCAGGGCTGCCGTCTTCCCTGCCAGGGCAGGTTGGAGCACGGTGGCCAAGTCCCTTGGTGGCCTTGGGACCCACCAGCCGCTGTTGTGCACTGGGGGACAGAGCAGGATGGGTGCAAAAAGCCCCGTGCTGGTGCAAAGAGCAAGGGGACACGTGGTGGAAAAGCCACCTGGGGGTGCAGATCCTGCAGTGCTTCCCTTTGCTCCCTGTTGTCTCCCATCTCCTGCCACCCCTCGCTGGCGTCACGGCAGCTGGAGCCGGGCTCTGATCAGCAGGGTCTCGCCTGTGCCTCGCGAGCCCGTGTGTGTCATACGGAAGCTTGTGGAGGTGCTGAAGCTCTGTGTGAATCTTCACAATTAGGGCTGCTCTGGGGCCTGCTGCCTTTGATCTCCTTCAATTATTTATTGCGCTTTGCTCCCTTCCCCAGCCCTCGCTTTCTTTCAAGTGATTATTTTCTTGGGCTTCCGCTTGGCTGCGGCTCTCCCGCTCTCTGGTTTTTGATGCTATTAATGTTCCTCTCCCAGTGTGTCATGGCTTTCCACACCTTTTCTTCCCTGTGTGATCCCATGATCCGATCCTTCTGCGGCTGCCTGTTCCAGCCTGGCTCCCCTGCTGGCTCTTTGCTGGCCCAGCAGATTTTTCGTGCTATTTTCCTCCTTTTCCTCACCCTTGTGGCCGCTGCCTTTCCCCATCACCTCCAGAGTGACTGAGGATCCGAATGAACACGGCTCTCTAGCAGCTGCATCCCAGCTCTTTTCCAGAGCGGTATCCAAGGCATCTG